ACCTGCTCCTGTTACTGCTGGAGCCTGCTGGTTCTGGAGTTCAGCTGTTGATTTTATAAGGGGGAAAGCTGCCTGGAAGCCATGCTTGGTGAAGAGGAAAACCCATCTCAGCACTGCATTCCCAAACAGCCATCTATCATCTTGATCTTGTCTAACACAAGTCACTATTTTCGTCCAGCAGCATAAACCAGACATATTTTACTGATGCAGGGCAAGTTTTTTCAGGATCTGTCTCATGACTCTTTTTAGGCCTGTGGCATTTACTCAGAGAGCAATACATTTGGTCTGTGGAGTCACTTTTAAGATTCAAAGCTGCCAAAATGGACCCCATGCTTTACACAGATGGTTGGAAACTCCCCTGGGTCTCTCTGTGTTTAGAGTGGGAATGGGGATGGGCAGAGGGTAACTGCTTCCAGGTTCTCCAGACTTTTCTTAGATCCTCCCAGGGTTTCATTAAGGCACACATCTCAGGGGCAAGACATCTAGAAATCTAGCTGCCTGTCATCTGCTTCCTGACCACCCCGTTCTCAGGGCAGGGATGACCACCTCATCTCTCAGCAGTGCCAAGCCTGCTAGTCCTGGGTGATGCCATCGGTTTCTCTGTGGTTGCTTCCTGTGTGCCCTTGGTCTCTTTCTGACTGGATCACAACTATCTTAAGTCCACAAAGGTTTCTCCCATTTCTTTTGCTGAAGACACCTCTAAATCCACTCTGAGCTTTTCTAAAGGGCCTACCATAGCTAGAGGGCACCAGCTGTCCTGATCTGTCCCGGTGTGATTGTTAATAGAGCTTCTCTTCACTCTCAAAAGAATCCCTGGTTTGTGCAGTGTATTACCCTACCTAGAGCAGTCATCACTGGACACTCCTTACCAAACTCATTAAATCCCCTCCCTCAGTCCCAAAACGGCTCCGTCTTCTCTTGTGATCCCTGTCCTGAAGGACCGCCCTCCAGTACCAGCTGCCTGAGTGCAGTCTTCCTCCTGACCCTCAATCCCATGTCTGAAGCAGTTGCCAAGTCCTGCGTCTCCAGTCTCCAAAATATCTCCCAAATGTACCCTTTCCTCTTCACGCCACTGTTGCTATCATTTAGACGGGTGGGGTTGGGGTGTCACAAATTCAGTCCTGTCTGTTTCCGGCAAGTAAGTGAACAAAGGGGGATGCGTATGAACATACGGCCCTCTTGGTCCATTCTCTGTTTCCAAACTTTAATCCTCACCGGAGGATTTTTTTTATATTGCTTTTCAGAGAGAGTGTAAGGGAGAGAGAGAGAGAAAAAACCATGGATATGAGAGAGACACATCAATTGGTTGCCTCCTGCACGTGCCTCGAGCCTGCAGCCAAGGCCTGTGCCCTTGGCTGGAATTGAGCCCGGGACCCTTCAGTCCACAGGCCAGCACTCTAACCCCTGAGCCAAACTGGCCAGGGCTGTTTTCAAACATTTAACAGAGATTTAGGTTCAGTAAATATCTCATTTTCCTCTTGATTCTCCGTAAGTTTTGGGGGGCGGGAGCACGAGAGCAACGGTAAGTGACGTTGACACTCCACCCGCGGCCGTGAGTGGCAGGCAGTGGTGGGACGGTGGTGAACCCGGGCGTGCGTTTCTCATGCCGGGGGCCAGGTGACTGCTGCCCCAAGACGCCAGATCTTTTGATTTTTCAAAAGAAGCTGGAGATCAGGATGACTGATGTAAAATCTCCCAATTCATAAATAACGGTTTAAAAATACTGGGTAGGCCAAATAAAACATCTGCAGCTACTTTTTGTCCGTAGGGTCCCGGTTCTCAGCCTCTGGTCTCGATCCTCAGGCCTCTTGTCCGGCTCCTGCAGTAGTCTCGGGCATGCTGCCCCCAGTCCAGGCTCTGCACTGCCCTGGCCCGTCTTCCAAATCACAGCTCCCTCTGAGGAGGTCTCTGGCGTCTGCAGGACGGAATACACATCCCTTGATGTTGCGTTTAGGATCCTTCTCTGTCTGACGCAACCATCTCTCCAGCTGTCTCCTACCATCCTGCGCACACCCTGGCTGTGCTCCCGTCACACACAGCTACTTGCTGTCCCCTGAGCAGTCCCAATATTTTCTTTTAATGAATAGCTCTTTTTAGAAGAATTTTAGCTTTACAGAAAAACTGAGCAGGTCCTCCCGGCCCCGTCACCCCAGCTTTGTCCTATTATTAATATAGTACATTAGAGCAGTCCATTTGTTACAGTTAATATACCGATATTGATACATTATTATTAACGCAAGTCCATAGTTTGCATTAAGGTTTACTCTTTTTGTTGGGAACACCAATATTTTAACACCCTTTCGAACTCTCTTTGTAATTTAGATTTCTCTATCTGTATATTGTTCTTCCAATTCTGGCAAGACTTTTTGAAGGCCAAATATGAGTATCACTTTGTGCAAAGCCGCCTCTGGTCAGGAAGCACCGGAGGAGTGTGGCGATGCTGCTGGGCAGGTTGTCTCTCCTGGCCAGGCAGAGTCAGGGAAGCTATTGATTTTCTGTTCACCCGGGACCAGCATGTAAGCTGCAGGGCAGCAGGGACTCTGTTCTCTGCTGTAACTCCTAGGACAGTCCCTGGTAATAGTTGTTTAATAAATATTTGTGGCCTGAATGTTTGAATCCTATCACAAATTTGGGACACGGAAAAGGACCCTCAACTGCTCGCAGCCCTCGTGTGCGTTCAGTTAGTCACCATCCTCGGTTCTGGCAGCTTGGGGTTCTCCGTGTTTGGTGCAGGGCAGTCCTGTGTGCTAGGCCGTTTCCAGATTCTCCCAGGCCTGGGCTCGGCCGCACTCCTAGCCCTCTGTTCCTGGTGAGTAACCGGGATCACAGTCGTGTGGTGTGTGCCCCAGCTGACAGAACTGATGGACCAGCAGTCTGATTTTCATAAACCAGAGCTGCCAAGCGTTTCAAAAACAGCCTTGTTTTTGCCAAGTAAGGTGAGCAAATATAGGACTAAGTTTAAACATCCATCAGGAGTTATTTTTGAAGCGATTGCTTCTAAATGAGAGGCATTTGAAAATCTCACAGCTTTCTTTACAAGTAAATTCCACAGTCATGTATTTTGCTGGTGTCTGCTGATTAATTACGATCCTGTGACACCATGAAAAGCCCTGGTGGTTGGTTCTATGCAGCTGTGGAGAAAAGTAAAGCGTAGCCCAGTGACGTTGCCAACTCTTTCAGGCTAGTGGGGATTCAGGCAGAGGGAGGTGTTTTTTTTCACTCTGGCAGCCACCGCATAAGAACAGAAGCCCCAGCCAGACCCATTTCTCCAGACTTCAGGACGGGCGGTTTGGGTCCCCGTGGGGGTGTGGTGAAGTAGTGATATTCGATCTGTTGCTTCTGAAATAACAGATCCATTATTAGAGAAGGCATTTGCAGTTTCCATCTAGACATGTGTGCATTCTCCTGTACAGTTACTTCTGTTTAGAAGAAAAAAAAGTGGATACATACAGTAAACTTTTTTAAAGATCTTTTTAAGTTGATTTTTAGAGAGAGAGGAAAGGAGAGGCTGAGAGGGGAACATCGATCGTCTGCCTCCTGCACGCCCCCTACTGGGATTGAGCCCACAACCCAGGCGTGTGCGCTGACTGGGAATCAAACCAGCAACCTCCTGGTGCATGGAACAACACCCAACCAACTGAGCCACAAGGGCCAAGGCACATACAATAAATTTATCACAATTTATTTTTTCTCTAAACAGGGTGTCCCCCAAAAATGTGTACACACTATAACAGCTGATAGCTCAATTTTGAAAATGAAATGTGTTTTAGTAAATACTGCCTTTGTGATTATTCACAGTGTGTATCTGTTGTTTTGGGACATCCTATGTTTGTTGTTGGTAATTGCAGATGTCTGACCCCAGAAAATCTGCCAGCTCCTACCTATTTAGGGTCTGATGACTCTCTGTCTCTTTTGTCTTGGCATCTCGCTTTTTCTCTACTCCCTTCCATATGGAACTCTCATGTGGCCCTCACTGACGGGAGGGAAAGAAGAAAAAGTTGAATCTTGCTGCTTAGGAAGAATCATCTGCAGCTCTAGTGAAGGATACAGTAGGGAAAGAAAACAAACTGATTATCAAATCAAAGTTCTTGATGTGTTTATCTGCACTTGCTTTGCTCCACCCGCCTCCTCTCCTTGATTCAGATGAGAGCAACTAAAGGATTTCTCTGACATGCATCTTTCTCCTTGGCACTCGCTGAGGCCAGAGGATCTCTTCTACGCCCACTTTCTTTCTCTGCTACAGGTTTGTACTCCTCAGAGAGGCCTTGTTGATGTCATATCTGAGTGTGAATCCAAGACACACGTAGGTGGGCACGCACGCTTGCATGTGGCCTGTGTCATATGTCTGCGGGAGCTGTGGTCTTCGTTCTAAATATAGGCAGCTAGAGATAGAACAGGATCTGTCTTTCTCTGCTTAATTCTAATACATAATGTCATGTAAGAATAAGAAAGTGGGGTGTGTGTGCGTTGCTGCCTCCACTTCTGACATCTCAGCAAAGATCTGCTAAAAAGTCTAATTAGTTTTCAAATATAACTGTCAAGTATTTGCAGAGGCAAGCGTCACTGTGGCCTGTTTCTTTAGCCAAGCCTGTCTGATAAATCCAGACATGTAAACCAATTTAGACTCAGACTTAGACTTTAAAAGGTACACGTTTTATATGAGACTGCTAACATAGAGAAAGATGTTTGCATTTCTTTCCTAAATCAATTTATAAGTTGTTTGCAACTAATAAGCTCTTGTATCAAATGCTTGTCTGGTCACAGAGTAGTCACTTTTATTTGGAATTGTGTATGGAACCCAGAGCACAGGTACGTAGGTTCCTTGCCACGCAGCAGCCTCCAAAATCAACATGCTCTCTGCAAAAAAACCAGAGCCACCTTCTGCAGGTGTCTGTTTTCTTTGAGGGGAATATTTAGAGGAAACCTAAAAGGGAGGAACTTACATTTAGAAAAAATATATTTTCACAGCAGATATTGCTTTTTCTGTCTTTTGGTTTTAGGTTTTTCATTTGTTACAAGCCTTCTCAGACTCCAAGTACAGAATGAATGCATACTTTCAGCAGGAGCTGGCTGATGTTGCTGTTTGCACCATAGCCAAACTTTGGCTGGCCAAGAGGTATGTTCAAACCCCTCATGAGCAAGGAGTTATCAGGGGTTAGGAATACATTGGAGAATTGCTGTTTCTAGTTGTGGGAGTTTTAAACGTCATTGGCATGAGTTTTCTAAACTTATTGGAGTATCTTTTTAGAACTTTGGGTTGTGGTAAAGAAAGAAAAATATTTTCTTGACAATTTTTCTTAAACTGCTCTGTGGCTGGGGGGCATGTAATATGGCTTTATCTGTCCACCAATCGGCTTATTTTTATTAATACGTGCTATGTGCCCAACCCTGTATTAGATGGTGTAACAATGGAAGGCAGTGATTGAGGAAATCGTGTGGCCCAACCTCTTAGGCGCCGTGGCAGCTCAGGAGCGGAGGCTGGTGTAGGACCCGAGCAGCCACAGGGGTAGCCGGGGTGCGAATAGGAAGACAGGGCATTGCCATCTAAGGGCGTGGTAGGGCGGCGCGGGAGGTGGGCCGGGAGGTGGGCCGGCTGTCCTCCTCATGCTTGCCAGCTTGCAGCGTTAGTTTACCCCAGCAGTTAGTACGTTTTCTGTGTGAAAGATGGACGGAAAGAATTTCTCCTCTCCTGCGTGGGGAATCCTCTCTGCGACCCTTCAAACCCATGTCTCGGGCTCTGACGCTGCTCGGACAGTTGTTGCAAGGACCGCGGGGCGTCCTCTGTGGGTCCCAGCAGAGGAGCCTGGTGGAGGACCGCGGGCTGCCTCATCCCGCGCCGCGTGTGTTGTGTTTGATTGAGAATCAGTATATTGGTTGTCTCACATAGCAGCCTCTTTTTTTGTTTTATTTAAAAAAATATGCTTTTGTTCACTTTCGTTGGGCAAGTAACGGGCAGTATGAGGCCTGTAACTCCGTGTGAATCAACAGGGCATTGCCGAGCACAGACTGCACACTCCCCTTTGTGTTGGGGAGGTAGAGATACAGACACAAAAGAACTAGTCCTGGCTTCAAGGAGCTCACGTCCAGGAGATGAAAAAGATGTGTAAATAAATAACTTGCCCCCAATATGGTAAGTGTGATGGATGTAGCAAGTACAGAAGTAGCCCAGAGGAGGGGCGGAGGAGGCCCAGCATTGCACCTTCAAGAGATGAGGAGGATTTTGCTAAGTGGCCAGGGCAGGGAGGGTCACTGCAGGCTCAGGTAGTGTCACAGGCAAAGACATGGCAGTGTGTATGAAGTGGCATGGTGAGCGTGCAGGACTCGAAAGAGCTCTTTTGGTGTAAGTATAACGTACATGTGGCAGAAAATGAAGCTGAAGAAATACTTGGGCCACATAGTGAAAAATCCTGAAGGAAACCTTTAGGCGAAAGGGAGCCAGTGAAGGATTTCTCAGCGTGTGGACGTGAGTCTGCATGTTTTTTCTAAGCCCCTATAGCTTTGGACAGGGATATTGATGGGGAAATTCTTTAGTGTCTGAAATGCCAATAAAATGATGGTTACCCTCTCATTTTTAGTCTAATTTTTGTTCTTCCCTTTTATTTAAAGAGTAAGGGTTGATGGACCATAAACCACTTCCATGAGCCCCTGGTATCATTTGCCTTCTGTGTGGCTTTTAGACAACTTTCCCCAGATGCTTTTTTCAGAACAGAGAACTGTGATCACATTTGTGCTCTTATGTGTTTACCAATCTGTAGGCCAGCTATTATTTCTAGGTTATCAGGAAGTCTGGGCTCTCCAGAAACCATGCTATTGAAAGCCCTGCTTCCAGCCTGGACTGGCCCACGACAGAATACTAAATCCCCTGTTCTTAAAGCTCTATAAGGAAGGAGTTTCTGTCCCCTTACCTTGCTATCCTTCATAGGTTTTGTAGAAACTCATCATCCACTAGCTTAAGGAGCCCCTTCCTTCTGTTTGGATAGGAAGGAGGGGACAGAGCAGCAGCCAGCCATCGGAATGGACCTTCATGTTGTGCAATGCCTGAGGATGGATGACAAAGCTATCATGTGCCTCCTCTTCAGCTGGAGAAGTCCTCCTGGCCTCTTTTAACCTTCCCTGTGGTTCCCATTGCAATTTTCTAATCAGGCTTTTCATCATTGTCACCCCCACCCACCTTCTCTGATTTTTCTCCATGATTTTCCAGCCCTAGAAAACAAAGGCATGAATCACTGCGATTCACTGGGTTTCCACCTTCCTTGCTGAGAGTCCAGGAAAGCCACTTTTTATGTTTCCAGTACAGTCAACACTTTATTATCCAAGTGTGAACTTTACACTTCGTGGGTGGTCTGTAGATGGTGCCTAACACCAGGCTTCCTCTTACTACCCAATACACTTTTACCATATTAATCAGGATGTGTTTAGAGCCTAAAATAAAGCTTGGGAGGAAAACACATTGCCAGAGCACAATGCATTCCAAAGCCATGGATCAGTTTTTCTGTATTATTCACATCATTGACACAATAACCTTGAGGTTTCCGAATAAGTATGGAACTGGGTCTGAGTGATGCAGCAGCAATCTGCCGCATGCCTGCCCTGCGCCTGAGGTCCTCGGAGAGTGTTGCTGCGGGAGGCATTTGTCTACAGAACAGCTCCTTGCTCGCAGGAGCTCTGGGTCCTAGTGGGCCCTTCTCAGGCCAGCCCATCCTCAGTCTCACCTGCCTTTCCCATGGGAGGCGTTGCAATGCGCAGTATTCCAGATTCCCCTGCTGAAGAGGTTCCTTTATGGCCTCACAATTTACACATGAAAGAGGAACAAATGTTCTTTGTGCCTACTAAGGACTTTCTGTATCTTTTGAGTATAAGCTATGAAACATTAATGTTATTGCAAAAAAAAATAAAAAATGTTGGTTTAAATTTTAGAACCAACCCCTTTCCCCTCTACAGTTTATTTGATCAGTAGCCTGAGTTCATTCAGTCCAGTGAGCACAAAAACATCAGCGAGGGTGTCATTTATTTGTCCTTTTACTCCCAAAGAAGGGTTTTTTTTTTAAGTTTGTTGGAGCCATTGGATAACCAATTCAGTTTTTAAAATTTCAACCCTGAAATTGGGGCACATAAAATAAAGACTTTTGTCATATATTTGTGTTTTGACTTTGCAAGATTAATAGGGATTTATTTGAGGTGATTAAGCAATAGCCATGGAGTTGTTGGGGAATTTTGGGTGATGAATGGCCAGCTGGCAACACGGCCTGAGCAGAGGACTGGGCTTCTGCTCTTACAGGCCGCTTTTCATTCCAAGACGTCAAAGCCTTTATAGAAATCAGCTCATTAATCCTTCAAGTCCCTTCCTTCCCCTTTTTCCTCCATTCCTCCCTCCTCAATCCAGTTTACTGTCTCTCTCATGGTGCAAAGGCAGTTTACCAACTATTGAAGGAGAACCGAGCTGGCCAGGCCAGAAACCGAGTGAGAATAGGGGTCAGCTGCTGTCCTGGAGAGGCCGCTGTGGGCGCCATGGAGGAGGCATCAGCGCGGTCCCGGGTCGCCGCCCGTCTGCCACCGAGGCTCTTTGCAGGTTCCAGCTCCGCTGCCCCCGCTGGAGCAGAGGCTCTGCCTCAATAGGAAGGACTTTTTAAAAGCCCTCTCAAGCAGGACTAAGAGGAGAAAAGATTTATTTATTTTGAGAACATCACTATTATATTGGACTTAAATTTTTTAGAAATCAATTTGGCTATCTAGTGTCTCCTTTGGTTATAAAAAGAAAAAAAAAATGTGTGTGCATGCGCGTGCTTGCCTTGTAGTAAATGTGGCAAAGCGGATTCCAGACTGTGCAATGGGTGATGTGATGACCAGGAAGAAAGACATGTCCTACTAAGTTTTTTCTTTTTTTTCTTGATTGTCAGTATTATACATGCTTATTATGAAAAATTAGTCAAGTATAAAGTTTGGAAGAGAAGAGAATATAAGTCTAATCTTACCAACATCCAGTGGAAACCACTAGTATATTGGTTAACAGTTTTATTGATGTAGTTACTTCATCTTTTTTCCTAGTCATTGTTTTATATAGTTGAGATTATACTGTATATGTAAGCGTATAGCTTACTTTTTTCACTTAACAGTATCATGAAAGCATTTGCTATTGTTATTACTTAAAATTCTGTATGGTGTAGACACTATAGAAAAGGCTGTGCGTGGCTCAGCGGTTGAGCATCGACCTAGGATCCAGGCGACTGGGGTTCGATTCCCGGTCAGGGCACATGCCCGGGTTGTGGGCTCGATCCCCAGTCGGGGGCGTGCAGGAGGCAGCCGATCAATGACTCTCTCAGCATCGATGTTTCTGTTTCTCCCTCTCACGCTCCCTTCCTCTCTCTGAAGTCAGTGAAGATATATTAAAAAAAAAAAAAAATCTTAAATGTTAAAGGGACTTCTTTATTAAAAAAAAAAAAAATAGTATGGTGTTTTCTCAAAAAATTAAAAATACATGTAACATATGATCTAGCAGCTTCACCTCTGGGTAAATATTTAAATGAATATAAGGAGAATCTTGAAGAGATACTTGTACATTCATGTTCATAACTGCGTTGTTCACAGTAGCCAAGTGTCCATTGGTGGATGAACAGATAAACAAAATGTGGCATATGTATGGACAATGGAAGATTATTCAGCCTTAAAAAGGGAAGAAACTCTGATAGGTGCTACAGCATGGATGGACCTTGAAGGTATTATGTTAAGTGAAATAAGCCAGTTACAGAAGGACAAATACCATATGATTCCACTTATATGAGGTACCTAGGATAGTCAGATTCATAGAGAGAGAAAGTGGGGTGGTGGCTGCCACGGGCGGGGCGGGGAGGGGAGGAGTGAGCAGGTCGTGTCTCCGGGTATAGGGTTTTAGCGTTACAAGATGAGGAGAGTTCTGGAAGTGGTTGTACAACAGTGTGAATGTGATCAGTACTACTGAATTGTACACTTAAAATGGTTAAGGTGGTAAATTTTATATTAACCTTTAAAAGACGGCATTTAAAAGACAGCATCATACAAACTCCATATATTTTCCAGGATCAACTGTACAAATAATGGTTTCTTTCCTTTTGCCTGTAAAAAAGAACGTATATGCTTAGG